CTTCCACTATTTCCCTCACTCATTCTCTTAGAGTTGCCTTTCCGGGATATTTAAAATGTTTTCTTAGTGTTCTGAAACCATCTAGGTTGTGTTGGCAGCCTATTGGTTAGGCTACCGGACTCGTAATCATGAGATTGCAGATTCAGGGTTTTGAGCCTCAGCTCGGTCCGATATTGTGTCCTTGGGAAAGGCACTTTTCACGAATTTCCCACTTGGCTCGGTCATTTTGGAAATGGACGTTGAACTCGAAGGTCCCATCTCTTAAATAACCTAACAGTGTTGATAGGAGCGTTAAAACTGTACCATTTCACCATTTAAAAAACCATCTAGACCAGCTTGGGTCGTCCTAAAAGCACGGTCGTACAGTTCTAGGATCTAAGCGGCCATAATTTTAAAAAATAAGTAAATTAAAGTAAAAGCATTAGGTCCTCACCAACCCAAATATATTAAAACTGTACACCATCTCACTTACTACGCCCTTGACTATCTTCAAAAAGCAATACATGTATCTTACTTTTTCACGCCCACTGTTGAGCCCCACGAGCCGCCCCTGATCTAGCCCGTTCTCTTCTTCCAGTCTGTGTACTGCCACAACACGAAAAACGTTTGCTGTTGTTTTCTTAAAAATTATCCTGTGGACAAAACGCATTTTGAAGTGCTATATATTTTTTTAAAACCTCAAAAATCCCATTGCACTTTAACAAAGTGCAACAGGCTTAAAAAAGCCTAAACGACGCAAAGAAGGGAAAAAAATGTCAGTTTCGAAATGTTTCACCTTGGACGCGTTTCCACAAAGCCCATTATAATTTAGAATTTGCTGAAGGCTTATCATGCGTAGAGCATATCGTTTATACACACATTATTCATACAAGGAGTGGGGGCTCCCCTCGTCTTGAGGTTATGCATGGTGTTCATCCCGCATTCAATAGGTCCCGGGTTCGAAACCTGACAGCGGCGGAAAATTTTCTTCTTTGAAGTGTTCTCCTTTCATCTCCTTTCCTGTTCTCTGACCTTGTTCTGTCGTCTGCATTCGTCTCCACTTTTACCCCCCC